GGAGACTAGACTCTGAGATTTTGTTTCATTTTTTCCTTTTCAGTTACTCTTAATTTCTTCTTTCCAGGCCAGAAAAATAAATCTTTCTGTCTCCTGACTCCTGCCAAAAGTCCCCAGTGGTGCCATAGCCTTGAAGGGCAGTGAAAGACTCAAAAGAGTCAGAGAAGGACTCATTAGCCTAAGAACTAGAAGGACAATTAAAAGTTGAGATAAAATGTTTTCAGAATATTTATTCTATAGGGAACTTAGAAGAGGGGAGAAGGTATGGTTGCAGAGAAGTAGCTATGGGAAAGAATGAGTAAGGAACACACCAAAAGCAAATAATTGCCCTCTGGGGATTCCTAGGTTCTAAAAAGTTATCAGCAAAGACTGTCAAAGTAAAACCTGCTTCCCCAAGAAGAAAATGGATGACTGTTTCAAGGACTTCCTAAGAGATGTGCTTTTTCACATTCAAAATGGGTCCCATGCATGAGACGAGCACTTGGCCTTGGTGAGTCCCTCATAAAGAAGATTAAGAGGAGGTGATGAGAGGAGAGAGCCCCAACTCCTGGGAGCAGTAAGGACTGTCCTGGGATCCTCCACTGTGTTTTCCTCACTGGTTACAGTTAGAGGGTCTTTGGATTCCTCCCATGACCCAGATGATGCAGTTCAGTGTTTTGAAGCCACTTGGTAGTTATCTTGATCAGTTATCTAATCAGCAATATAAACTGAAGTGCTCATCATATGTAGACATATGTGCAAAGAACTAAAGAATCAGTTTTGTTGGAGATAAGAAGGACTGGCGAACAGCAGGGACAGGTAGAAGAACCAAAGATAGACACAGATCCCCACTTTTCTTGAAAAGAGGATGGTGAATATTCTCAACCATCAAGATGCATAGTTCCTATAAAAGTAAGGCAGATTTGGTCCTTGATTTGGTGGCAAACTCGTTGTTAGGAGTTGCTGCAATTCATTAACAATCAGAAGGCTTCTAGTCTTCTACCTAGACCCATGTAGTTTTCCCATTTCTACTGGTATGGCCCCCATGGCCCCTTTCCCTATTATTTAATCTCTGATTTTTCAGTCAGCTGGTCCTATTCATTGATAATTACTCTATCATTTTTGTGTGTGATCTGAAGTCTTTAATCCCAAAACCCAGTAAACTCATAGCTGATTACTTACAATCCCACCGTCTGTGCCTCCTAACAGTGATCAAAAACAACAACAACAAAAATCTATTTTCTTTTATTATTTATTTGTTTGTTTGTTTTGAGTCAGGCTAGAGTGCAATAGCACAATCATGGCTCACTGCAGCCTTACCTACTGGGTAGCTAGGACTGCAGGCAACCCTCTGTTTCAGCAATCCTTCTTCTTCAGCCTCCTGAGAAACTGGGATTACAGTCATGTACCATCATGCCTGGCTAATTTTTTTTTTTTTTTTTGGTAGAGATGAAGTCCTACTACATTGCCTAGGCTAATCTCAAACTCCTGGACTCAAGTGATCCTCTTGCCTTGGCCTCCCAAAATGCTGGGATTATAGACATAAGCCACCATGCCCTGCCTGTTTTTCCCTTTTACACTGCTTATGTATATTCACTTACCACAAATCTTTACAACTGAAAAAAATCTTAATGTTTACCTAATCTAACTCACTCATTCTGCTATTAATATGCAAATCCAATGATACATAGATGGTTATACCGGTTGAAGTCCAGATATCCTTATATGATTCTTGGTATATCTTAAACCACATCTACTTTTTCAAGACACAAAGGCACTGGTTGTTTTTTTAAATTTTCATTTCTTTTCTTCTATTTCATTATTTCTACATATCTGCCTGGCTATTTACATAGCCAGAGTCTATGTCTTCAGTTACCAGACATGATCATTAAGTTTCCTCAAAAAACTTTTTTGATAAGTTCATGGTGATTCATCCTCTCTCCTTGTACAGCCTGAGTTCCTGAAAGGAAGACCAGACCACAATGATTCATCACCCCGTAACCTGCCATTGGACCAGCTACTATTGAGTGCTCAGTAATTGTTTACCAAGTTGAGCAAAGTGGAATGAAATTCTCTAATTATCTAAAAAAAAAAAAAGCTGTAGAACAAGTATATCTATTAATACAAAATAATTTATCATCATCTAAAAACAGTATCAAAAATTTATTGGAATGAAAAGGTACTGAACTCATGCTGTGTGATACAGACAAATCCTCTGGGTACAAATGAATCCTATACCTCAATTCTTCACTATGTTTAAGCAAGCTGTCTGTAATTAGGTGGTTTAAACAATAGAATTTATTGCCAAGGTGCGTTATGGCCCACATACTGTTAACTTTCTGGGTTTTGGTTAACTTTCAAATTTTTATGTTGTTTCTTGTCCCTATATCACTGGGCAGAATTTGTCTAGGTGACATGTACTTGTTGAATAACATCAGCCACTTATGTTTGCTTAGTACTTTACAAAGAACATTTATATTCATTTGCTCATCTGATCTTACTTAAAATAATGTAAAGTAGGTAGTATTATTATTCATGCATTTCAAATAAAGAAACCAAGTCTCAAGGAGGTCAAGTAACTTGCACATAGCAAACTAATGGAAGAGGCAAACTGGGACGCAGATCCCTAGACTTCTCACTCAAAGCTTTTCTCACTTTCCATAGCATTTCTCTACAAGGCAAGATAGCTGTCCCAAGCCTCCCATCCAAGAATCCTCAAGTGTCTTTCTTCCTAGACTCCATCTTTGCAGAGCACCTACCCATCCCTCACTAATAAGCTTGTGCTGGGCAGCCTTGAACCTTGTTCCAGCTTAGTTCTCAGGTAGATAAAAGACCTGAGCAAATCACCTTCCTCGGTCACATTGTTCATAAAATGAATGGAATAAGATATTTGTCTTACATGTTTCCTTTCAGGTCAAGCAGTTTTGATTACCTTTTAGTGGGAATCTCAAACCTTGACGCCAATTCTGAAGGTGGGAATTCTGTCTATGGTAGCAGGCAGCCCCACAGAACATGGTAAAACAGCATTGAGTTACTTCTACTGACACAGGGAACTGGCTCTGTGGGTAGCCACAGGCTCCCTAGGGCCATACTCAGAATCCCAGCCACAGCTCACTGCACTCTGACCCTAGAACCTGATCTCCAACCCTGAGAGCCCCAAGCCAGTTTCTATTCTTAGCAGTTTCCACAGTGACACCTTCTGACCACTAAAAGTCCAGGGCTGAATGGAGACAAGATGCCTGCTCCATCCAGTTCCGATGCTCTCCCCTCCACCAAGATCTCCAGCCACCGTTTCTAGCCAGAAAAAACCTATATTTAATTATGCTTTTCAGTCTTTTGTGTTTGATTCTGTGGTTCTGCTCTGGTGTTCTCAAGCTGAAGTATTGCATGTATCTTCTGGTTGGCTGTAATGGCTTGCACAAACATGCTGTCATTAGATTCTCAAATTTGACCAAGTACTAAGTTTTTAAATTTCTTATTTGAATCCATGGCACTGTTGATCTTTTAAACACAGATTCCTAAAGATAAAAGACAATATTTCCTAGTGGTTACTTAAAAGCATAGTGACACATACACTCAGTAATTTTTTTTTTTTTAAGTCTGTTACCCAGGTTGGAGTGCAGTGGAGCTGGAACTACAAGTGTGTGCCACCACGCCTGGTTAATTTTTTTAATTTGTTTTTTGTAGAGGCGAGATCTCGCTATATTTCCCAGGCTGTTATCAAACTCCTGGGGTCAAGCGGTCCTCTTGCTCTGGCCCCCCAAAGCGCTGGGATTATAGGCATGAGCCACCATGTCCAGCTTCAATAAATTTTTAATAAATGAATGAATTAGTTTGCTACTTAACTATTTTTAAGAACAGGAAATACACTCAGAGATTACATTTCTATTTTTTAAAAAATAATGGCATTTACTTTTATTTTTCTAGAGGACCAGTCAACATACTAGAAGTGAGATGACCTGATGCAACCTTTAGTGAGAAGGGACAATTCACTCCCTTTGAAAAGATTCAGTGGTTTTCCATCATCTCATACTCAGTAGTAATATGTGAGTATCAATGGTTTTCAAATACTCTCATTACATTATTTGTTAATCATTTATTTAAACATCTAAGTAAATACCTGCAGCTCACTATATAAATTGCATGTTCTTGAGAAGTAAGTCACAACTACTGTGGTGATTTAATTACAGGGATCCAAATTTAATTAGCCAAGTACTAACCTCATTCTTCTCCTTCATAGCATTTAGCATAATTATACTTAATTAATTATTTGCAATTATTAATTTAACCTCTATGTTCCTAGTTAAGTTATAAGAACCAAGAACGCAGGACCTATGTCTCCGTGCTTCATGTTCATAGACAGGCATCCAATGCCTGACTTGGCTCCTGGCACACAGAGCTTAGCAGACATGGATTTAAAGGACTTAAGCTTCATCTGGACTATGGGTATAATGGGAAGGATGTAAGATTTCTTTCTAGGAAGTGACCTAAACTACACGAGCCCCAGAAGAAGCAGGAAGAACAACTGGGTTGGAAATAACAGGGTTAGGAAATGACACTGAGGAATCTAGGGGTAACCGTATTGCTCTCCAGTCTGACTACAACATATTACACTAAAGAATCTTCCTTTCTTTCCTCTCTTCCACTTTCCTTCCCACTGTTTCCATTTTTCCATCTTCCTTTGTTTTTCTTTTACTTTTACTTTCTTTTTTCTTTTTCTTTCTATCATTCCTTTTTTCTCTGTCTTTCTTTCTATATTGATAGATTACCCCCTATATAACTGTAACTGCGCTGGGTCTTAGACATGAAAGAAGGTGGCAAAAACAGGACCTTTGTTCTTGAGAGTCTCACAGTTTAGTAGACGAAACCAAGTGTCTCTTCCTTTAAGGCTTTAATTGCACCCTTCCCTAATGAGGCCCAGTGTCCCAATCCCATCTCCAATCCTAGCCCAGGACTTAATCAAAGACTCCCAAATAAGACCTTTTATTGTCTGTTCTAAAACAGTCTGCCCCACCTGCTCCATGGAGAGGGACAACATGACCTGGGTGAGTGAGTTCATCCTAATGGGTCTCTCCAGTGATAGGCAAACTCAGATTGAACTCTTTGTCCTGTTTGGGGCTGCTTACCTGCTGACCCTGCTGGGAAATGGTCTCATCATCCTCCTGATTGGCCTGGACACGCGACTCCACCTGCCCATGTACTTCTTCCTCTGCAACCTCTCAGTTGTGGACATCTGCTACACCTCCAGCGGGGTCCCCCAGATGCTGGTGCACTTCCTCCTGGAGAAGAAGACCATCTCTCTCACCCGATGCGGGACCCAGCTTTTCTTCTCCCTGGCCCTCGGGGGGACCGAGTTCCTGCTGCTGGCCGCAATGGCTTATGACCGCTATGTGGCCATCTGCGATCCCCTGCGTTACATGGCGGTGATGAGCTCAAGGCTCTGTGTGGCACTAGCAGGTGTCTCTTGGCTTGTGGGCCTGACAAATTCTGCCATGGAGACGGCAGTCACCATCCGCCTGCCCACCTGTGGGCACAACGTGCTTAACCACGTGGCTTGTGAGACACTGGCGTTGGTCAGGTTGACCTGTGTGGACATCACCCTCAATCAGGTGGTCATAGTGGCCTCCAGTGTGGTGGTGCTGCTGGTGCCCTGCTGCCTGGTCTCACTGTCCTACACCCACATTGTGGCTGCCATTCTGCGGATCCACTCCTCCCGGGGACGCCGCAAAGCCTTTGGGACCTGTGCTTCCCACCTCACTGTGGTCTCCATGTCCTACGGGATGGCCCTCTTTACCTATATGCACCCCCACTCCATGGCCTCAGCCGAGCAGGACAAGGTGGTGGTACTCTTTTATGCTGTGGTGACCCCCATGTTGAATCCTCTCATCTACTGTCTGCGGAACAAGGATGTGAAGGCTGCTCTGAGTCGAGTTCTGATGAGGAGCTCTGAATTAAAACATTAGAGACTGGTTTTTGGAATGAGATGGCCTCACTCTGAAGGCAGTGAGCATTGGAGTGTGCCTCCTACATAATGTGTGTGTGCATGAGTGTATGTGCACATGTGTGGGGGTGTGTAGAAGGGAACAGGTGGGAGGGCCATGAGTCACAGAGAAATGGGATTTTTATCTGGACTCTATTTTCAGGCCCTGGGCTTATTCCAAATATGAATTACAACAACTTAAAAACCTTACAGAAAGTTAAATGAAATATATTCATTTTCCTAAATGAAAGAAAGGAGGGGAAAGATATACAGATGTATTTGAGCAATCCTACTTCTGGGTATGTATCCAAAGGAATTGAAATCTGTATGTCAAAAGATATCTACATTGCCATGTTTATTTCAGCAGTATTCACAATAGCTAAGATATGGAAGCAACCTAAGTGGCCATCTACAGATGAATAGGCAAAGAAAATTAAGTACATAAAAACACTAGCATCAGGCATGATCCACACCTGAAATCGCAGCTCTTTGAGATGCCAAGACAGGAAGATCACTTGAGGCCAGGCGTTCCAGACCAGACAGGGCAAATAGTGAGCTCCCATCTCTACAAAAAAAATAATTAGTTGTGCATGGTGACATACACCTGTGGCCCTAGCTTTTTGGAAGGCTGAGGTGAGAGAATTGCTTAAGCCCAGGAGTTCAAGGCTGCAGTGAGCTATGATCGTGCCACTGCTCTCCAAAGTGTGGGACAGAGGGAGACCTTGTCTCAAAAATAACTTTAAAAATAAATAAAAATACAACAGAATACTCTAAAGCCTTTAAAAAGTAGATAATTTTGTCATATGTGACAGCATAGATGGAACTGGAAGACATTATTTTAAGTGAAACAAGCCAGCACAGAAAGACAAATATTTTGTGATCTTACTTATATGTGCAGTCTGAAAAATGTTGATCTCCTAGAAACAGGGAATAGAAAGGTAGTTACCAGAAGCTAGGGAAAATGAGGAATGAAAAGAGATAAGGAAAGAGAGGATATTGACCAAAGGGTACAAATTTTCAGTTAGACAGGAGAAATACGTTTTAGTGATCCGTTGCACTGCACAGTGACCAGAGTTTAAAATAATGTATATTCCAAAATTGCTAAAAGAATAAATTATAATGTCTTTACCACAAAAAAGATAAATATGTTAATGAGTTTAATTGAATCTTTCCACAATGTATACATAGGTCAAAACATGTTATACCCCATAAATAGGACATAGAGGACATTAGTTTTGCTTGCCAATTTGCCAATTAAAAATACATTTTTTAAAATAGCAATAGAATCTGCCTGATTTTTCATATTAAACACGAAACTGAGAATACCAGACTTGCAATTTTTTGAGCAAGAAACAAAAGCATATGTTATATAGAATTTCTATAACATGGTGAGACCAAAATAATTGCCTTTTAAAAAATATAAATTATTCTCAGAGTTGAACCCAGAGAGATCCATAAATACAATGTCAAAAATGAATGTGTTGGTGAGGGTTGGAGCCTGCGATTCACAGCAGTAAAACCGGTCTCGGATGTAGAAAATCTTCACTGAGTTCTATTTATTATAGTCTTTAAACAACTTAAGTATCACATCTATTTGATTTAGTTTTTGAAGCAATAATATAACTACATAATAAAGCAGAAAAATATGATAATTCTAAAGAAAGATTTACCTATTAATTTAAAATGTAGTAGTACTTGCATCTTAACTTGAATTTAAAGCTTCTTCAAAAGAAACTTATTTCACAATGGTTAATAAATTGCTCTGTTTTCTCCTGTAATAAATGCTTGGAAATCATATCATAAATGAAACTTCATGAAGCTGATAGTATGTTTTGTGTGTAGATACAGATATTGTCACTGCAATTTGTTTTTCTAAGACTTCAATATCAACTATAAACTATGAGCAACAATTTTTCATTTTGTATGTTTCAAAATTTTTAAAAGTCTGTAGAGTGATTTAAAATAGAAATTTGTGAACTAATGTCTTCTATGTCCTATAAAATTAGCAGTTTCAATTATCAAATGCACATAAAAGTCATGAAAATCTGATCACATTTTGTCATTAGTTTGGGTCAACCTTCACTACTAGCTCTATCATGATATATTCTAAAAATGATTTATATAAAACTCACAAAACTATATACTTTCCAAAAGTCAATTTTACCATATGTTTATTTAAAGAACACTTCCTAATCAATAGGAAAATAATGGACACACAGACAGAAAAATGGAGAAATGAAATGAAAAAAAAAGATAGAATGGATTTCATAGTATTTAGCATATGAAAAATGTATCTCAAAAACAAAAAAATACAAATTAAAATAATACACCATTTAAAGTTTTCAATTAACAAAGAAAATGCTAACATTGAATATTTTAACAATATGTATCAAGAGCCTTAAAAAAATACTCACACTCTGATCTTTCAGGGGCATCTGATTCCCCTGAAAGATCTTCCTTTTAACTTTACTAAAGTTGTATGATAATGCCAAGAAAGGTAAGCAAATACAAAATGTTTAAAATATAACCATTCAGAGTATTGCTATATCCTGAGAGGACTTTTTCCTAATAGCCAAATAATCCACAGAAATCCAAGGATACAACCATCAAATAACATAACATAACATCTGTCCTTCTTTGGAGTGTTGCTTTTGGAGACCGCTGACACATTTCTCTGCATACTACATCCCATAAACAACTGGAGAAAACAACTCTCAAGAGACTAATGGAGCAGAAAATAATCAGAGAAGATAGATAATATGGTATATTTAACTATTTCGAGAAAAACCATACTACCAAAAGGTAGAAGAGGTGGAATTTGGTTTTTGGTCTTTCTGATTCCAGAACTTGACCTCTTAGCTACTACCTTCTATAACCTATATATAAATATTGAAAGGGCTCACCTGAAGTTTTGGGAAAAAAATCATTGGAAGTTTTAGGGAAAAAAATCACTGTTACTCACATGTAAACACATATCAAACAATTTTTAAATTTTAAGTATATAAGAAAAACTCCAACAGCAAACAAGAATAGTAGGTTTCCTGAGAAAAGTGAACAATTAGGCTAGAACCAAACTTTTTCTCTATAGGAAGGAATGACAGGAAGGCAATGAAATAATTTTGCACTAGGTTTTGAGGGCACAAAAGTATAATCCAAGAATGTTATAAACAGCCAAATAATCTTTAAAGTACAAGAGAAACAGACACTATCTTATTTGCATGGCTTACAAATTGTGTCATACCGTTAATTTTTGTATTTCTTCCTTAAAGGATAAGAATATAAAAACAAGTAAATTATAAAATTGAATAAAATGGGGAAATCATTTGGATTAGAGATTTCAATAAATGTCTCAAATATAAAGAAGGTTGAACTACATTAATTAAATGACGTTGCCACAACCAGAATATACAAACAGGAAGCTACAGTTGAAAAAGCAATTGATTTAGTTATTACAACTTTGGAGATGTCATGAATTCTGGTTTAGCAGTCATAATAGAAGTAGGCAAGATTAGGGAGTCTAATAAAAGGGGACTGCTTGAAACATTGTTTATAGAATAACTGAACTGACCAGCTCCTCCACCACTATCCACTACCAGAATGAAGGCCCCAGATTTTATCCTCTTCAAAAAATTTTTTTATTTTAAAGATGTGGGGTACAATTCAAGGTTAAGTATACAAATGTTCAATATGCAGGTGCACTTGTTGATGAAGTGTGCCCTCCCCCTGGCTGTTTCGCACTACTGCCAATCCCTTTCTTATAGTATTGTGATAATTGTTCAAGGTCCACCTATGAGTGGGAACACTCGGTTCTTTGTTTCTGTGATAGATCACTCAGTACTGCAGACTCCAAGTCTATCCAAGTTGCTGCAAAGTTCATAATTTTGTCCTTCTTTATGGCTACATAATATTCCATTGTGTATATGTACCACATTTTTTTTTTAGTCAGTTCTCTTTCGATGAACAGCACAGTTGGTTCCATGTTTTTGCTATTGTGAATAATGCTGCAATGAATATGCATGCGCAGGTATCTTTTTCATAGAGTGATTTGAGTTTCCCCAGGTATATTCCCAGTAGGGGGATTGCAGGGGCATAGAGAAGGTCAATTTTTAGATCTTTTAGTAATCACCACAGTTTTCCACAGAGGTTATACTACTTTACACTCCCACCAACAGTGTAGAAGTGTTCCTTTTTCTCCACATCCTCTCCAGCATCTGTTGTTTTTTGAGCTATTGATGATAGTCATCCTGACTGGAGATAGGTGGTAGCTCAGTATGGTTTAAATTTTCATTTTTTTGAGGACTAGTGAGGCTAAGCATTTTTTCCATGTATCTGTTGGCTGCTCTTGTCTTCTTTTAAGAAATGTCTATTCATAGCTTTTGCCTACTTTGTAATAGGGCCGTTTGTTTATTTCTTTTCGGCAGGTTTGAATTCCTTGTAGATCCTAGATGTTAGACCTTTGTCAGATATACAGTTGGCAAATATTTTTTCTCAGTCTGTGGGCTCTCTCTCTCTATTTTCTCAATGAATTCTTTGACTTTGCAGAATCTTGTCAGTTGGATAATGTCCCACTTGTCTATCTTATCTCTTATGGCATGGGCACTGGCGTTTTGGTCAGGAATTGGTTATCAGTTCCAATTTTCATTAGGGTGTCACTTGCATTTTCTAAGGTTCTTATAGTTTGAGGTTTTACATTTAGGTCTTTGATCCATTTAGAGTTGATTTTTGTGCATGGTGATGGGTAGGGGGTCTTGTTTTAATCTTCTGCATGTAGTCAGTCAGTTTTCCCAGCACTATTTACTGAACAGGTTATCCTCTCCCCAGTGGTTGATGGTGGAGGCTTTGTTGAAGGTTGTTTATAGAGTAACTGCACTGACTGGCTTCTCCACCACTATCCACTACCAGAATAAAGATCCCAGACTTTATCCTTTAAAAAAAAGAGTTTTTTCTCTAACAGATAAGTTAGAATTTCTGGAAAATGCTAGA